GGGGGAAAAAAAGAGGACCTGATACCAAAGTCTCAAGTAGAAAGATAATGTTTTGAAAGCAATCATGGCAACATATGTACAGATGTGCTTGATAAAATTGATGTATGGATTGTTATAAAAGCTGTCGGAGCTCCCAATAAAATGGTTATTTAAAAAGATGTCTTTTGCAGCAGATTTCGCCAGTGCAATCAATGTACTCTGATTATTTCCTGACTGTTGCTTCCATGGGTGTTAACTGTGGACTCAAGTAAGGGGAAACCGTTCAGAACTTCTATTTCTTTCCCATTTATCATGATATTGCTTGTTAGTCCAAATATATATATATTTGTTTTGTTTATGTTTAAGTGTATTTTGAGGATATAATCTTTGAACTTCATCAGTTAATGCTTCAAGGTCTCCTCACAGCAAGCAAGTTTGGGTCGTCTGCATGTCATAGATGGTCAACGCATCTTCCTCCGATTGAAGGGTGCTTTCCTTTCATACAGTCCAGCTTCACAAGCTGCCCTTTTAAATCATCTGGGTAGCTTCATAATTTCATCATTTCTGCAGTTGCATCACCTACTAGAGGTTTAAGAACAAATTTGAGAGTCTCATCTAACATTCAGTTTTCTTCTTTCTTTTCTGTCTTTTGAATGGTCTTTTGCTTTCTTCATGTCTGGATTTCTTTGATGTCATCCCACAACTTATCTGGCCCCGAGTCATTAGGGCTCAGTGCATCAAAACTGTCCTTGAGATGTGTGGTAATGACATGATTTAATGTCATCCTGAAGATATTCGAAGTGCAGGGGTCCTATCCAAGCAGTCAATCAGGTTACAGCCTGATGATGCCTCTCCTTGTGGTGATGGCCTTCTCATATGGAGGGGCTGGGGACTTCCCCTGTTTCTCTCTGCCTTCACCTTTCTGCTTGCTGGACACCCTGAAAGCTGTTGGAGCCCTGCCATGTTTCCACCCACCTTGGACCACCGGCCTGCGGTTTTCTTACATTCTGCATCATTACATGTGACTGAAGAGGAACTTAATGGACTAGCATCAGACTTATGGACTTGAGTTAGACTGGGCTGGGATGTTTTCTTGATATCTAATTACTCTAATTACTTATTGATATAAAGCTCTTTCTTACGCATATATGAGTGCACTGGATTTGTTTCTCTAGTCAATCCGGCCTAACACAAGATGATTTATAAATTCAGGTGGGATAGACTCACAGAAATACTTTGGTTCTATGGTCAAGTCAATTTCTTCAACTTATACATATACTCATTTTTATTGTCAATTCTGTTTTCTCATCCCTTAATGAGTTAGATTACAGTGAAAGCAAAAATTAAAGGCAATAATACCTTTTTATTTATGGAACTAGTGTGTAAAGACAGGATAAATGCCTCTCACGCTAACCTTTGAGATCAATGAGTCCAGAAACTACAACGTACACATTTGGTAAGAATAAATAGATGATAGAGTACTTGGGACCTAGTCAGGGCTGAAAAAAATGCATCATGAATTATATTTAAGGCTTTCCATCACAGCATAAAAGACAAAAGCAAAAGCCAAACTCACTGCCATCGCGTCAATGCTGACTCATAGGGACCCCATAAGACAGGGCAGAGTTGCTCCTATGTGTTTCTGAGGCTGTAACTCTTTACAGGAGTAGACCCTGTCTTTCTTCCTTAAAGGACAATAAGGCCCATATTATTTCTAAAAAGCAAGTTAAGCTCCTTTTCAATTAAATTCTGAAGGCAGAGTAAACCTGCCCTTCAATATTCTAGACATTTTGTTCTTTTTTCACTATACTTTATCTATTCTGTTCATTCTCATTAGAGAGGGTGCTAAAACAAATGCTTCCCACACTTAACACTCATGCTTAGCCCTAAATCACTAAACTTTTACTTACAATATCAAACTTTTCTACTAGAGAGACTATGGTTTTACTAATAATTAGTAAAGGGCTTTCAGCTGTTTGAATCTACCTTAATTTTCTGGTGACTAAAGTCCAGAAATCTTCTACAAAGACAAACAATTTCAAAATAACCCCAAATGAAAGTCCAATACTCTTGGCACTCAGTTTATCCAAGATAAGGAATAGAACATTAAAATATACATTTATTCTATTTTAGAATTAAAAAAAAAACAGAAAAGAAAAACAAATGCTAGCTTATAGTAACTTACATAGTGATCTTGTCATAATCCTATTTTTATTTTATATTTCTGTTTCAAGTTAATAAGTGCTTTCAAATAATCTATATAGAAGCCTATTAAGGCTAAAAGTCAGGTAATTTCCGATAACAAATTAGAGTTCTAAATATGATAGTTCATATTTAACATGCACCAATTGTAAACTGCCAGAATATTGGATGTGATGACTGATTAGTTAAATAGCAGAATTTATATTTATAAATCTGAAGCATATAGACCATCATAAAAAATTATAGTTTATAAAGTGTTCGTTTACTATCTCATTCAAAACTGTATCAAAACATACTCAGTGATAGGTGATAAGATGTAATTAAATGTGGAACAATTTCAAGATGTCATTGTTTAAACATACCCTATAAATATTTTGTCTCCAAAATATCTATCACTCACATATATAAATGGCCAGTGTTCTAAGAATCAACCATAGTTTATACGATGTCAATATCTATATGTAGTCTATACAAGTCAATGTGTAAGTCCACTAATATTATACCCACACTACATAATTATCTATTATTCCATCACATCATTTATTATTCAAAATTTTAATATCACACTAGATTATTACCCAAACTCTGATATCCAATCAACAGTTCCAAACCATAGAGTCAAAATTCTATTTATCGGCAGTGTTTATCAGAAGTCAGATAGTTTCATCTACTTGGTTGCACATTATCTATGCTTTTCTTTTCCTCTTATAAGATACCTGATTGTTTGCTTTCCCCCATTAACATTTCTTAAGAAAATGAAATCATCAATAGAAAGAATGAAAGGGGGAAAGAGCTACAGATTCCCTGATGTACATTTTTGTGATGCAGGCAAGATCCACAGGGTATTAAAAGTTTCACTATAGATCTACCTAATTCCCTAGTACAAGGATACAAAGCAGAACAAATACAATGTGCGTTTCTAATAAATTACTCTTTGCAAAATAGAGCATGGAAAACCCATCAAAACATAAGAAAGCATATGCCCATTACGGCAGGATTTGATTGAGTACTTTTTCTCTTCATATCAACCTCGGAAGCTGGTAAATATGTGACTCCACTGCTGAGGTTTCCCACACTGCCTCCACTTAGAAACGCCAAAAACTGTATAGCACAATCCTGTCCAAAGGAGCATGCCCAAATGTGCTCTTTAACAACAACAAAAAAATGTCTGTTTCACATGAAAATACAGCCTGCCAAATATGTCAAATAAAAGGCTAACAAAGACAGAAACAGTATCTTTAGACTTGAATTTCAATACAATTTCTCACCATCTGTCTACCAGTTGTGTATCAGTGACCCAGGAGGGCCCTGTAAACACTGACAAGTTTTATCCCATAATCTGTATCAACCAGCACTCTCAGCGCCTCATCAGTAGTTACATTTTGTCTGGGGAGCAGCCTAGAAAAATGACATTTGCCACTAGCAGATCAGATCTTGACAAGGAATGAATAGGTCGTTTTAACAGATTTACATTTAGGTAATAAATGTAGAGTTCAGTTCATCGGAATGAAGAAAGATAGAGGTACTCCTTCCTCAAATGTGTATTGGAAATTGAATAGAGAAGGTTAATTTCTGGTGGGAAGGGACATAAACCACCCTCAATCTCCTTCCAGAGGTCTCAGAAATGTACATGATGTCCCACCCCATTCATTTCTGCCATGGCCACCACCACCTTCAAAGTTATAATCTGTGCTCTCTCATCCAATTAAGGGTACACACCCCTCACCAAGAGCCAAAGGAAGCACTGTTTAACTAGAGGAGCAGCTTGGCCACCAGCTCCGTGGCGCCACCAGCAGCCAGCCAGGTTAGCTTGGGACCTCACCCCTTCAGGCAGGCCCCCACCTATGCCTCTTCTTTTTCCCAGCGTGATCACGGGAAACATGGGAATTGGGGTGCGTGGGAGGGGCGGGGGGGGGGGGAGAACCTTCCCAGTTACAAAGATCCAAGACTGAAGTAGCAAGAAGACCCTGGCAGGAGCACACTACACACACTACACACACAAACACACACACGCACTCACTAACTGGATCACTCACTCACTCGTGCACAAACCAACACCAGCGCGGGCGCGCCCCTGTCCCCAGGTTCAATGCTAACAGAAACAGGATGGAATGGAAAAAGGAGGTGGGTGGCAAGAAGGCCCAGAGCTGTAGAGAGCCTCCTGCGGAGGAAGCTAAGGATGCTTCTGGAACTGCAAAAGTGCGAAAGTCCCAGCCCAGCTCCACTAGCGGAGGACCGGGCTCTCCTGCCAGCCGCCAGGGTCTCTCTCCTTCCTTCCTTCCTGTGAGGCTCAGGAGGTGGGAGGGGAAACGGAGCCCGGTTCCCCAGCCTGCCCTCCTTGGTTTGGCTCGGGGCCTGAAACCTGCCCCCACCGGCCCCCTCCCTTCAGCCCCGGTTTGGGGAGACTGCCAAGGAAAGAGCGGACTTGCCAGGGAGCTCTTGGGGAGCAGAAGGCAGGAGAAGAGCCCAGAGCAAGCTCTGGCCGAGCAGCTCTCCTCTTCCAGGGCCGACACACCCCCAGTTACAGTACAGCCACACTCAGACACAGGCGTGTGCGCGCCCTCACCCCTCCCACCACCCCCGGGTCAAGTCCATTAAAACACTAGTTGATTTTCAGATTACAAAAAGAAGGAAAGTGTAACAACTCTCTCCAGGAGTCGCCGGAGCAAAGAAAGTCCGTTTTCCGGCGTCTTGCTATAGTTTCCCAAGAGTTTCCAGATCTGGAGGTCCCCAGCCAGCCAAAAAAAAAAAAAACGGGACCTGGGATCCGCGAAGGCACCGAAGGCGCACAACTCCCTCCCCGCCCCCGCGCCTCTCACCTCCTTAAGTTCCTTGGCGACGTCCTTCAGGTCGCCCAGGACTAATTCCAGATCCTCCACGATGATCTTGATCTGTTCTTTCACCTTGGTTTTGGAGGCTGCGGGCGGCCCCTCGGCTGGAGAGGACGAGGAGGGGGTCCCCTTGGACTTGGCTGACATTCTTTGGGGGGGAGCGAGGCAGGTCAGGACCGGCGAGCGAGCGAAGGCTGCTGCGCGCCCCCGTCCCTGGCGCTGCTGCTGCCCCTGCCACCCCGGTCCCCCCACATCTTGGACGCTCCCAGGTCAGCGGCTGACGGCTGCGCTCCGCGTTCTGCCCGGCGGCCGCACCGCGGTGCTGCCATCAACTCCCCGAGACGCGGCGGCGCTCGGCTGGAGGCTGCAGCCGGGCGAGCAGCGCGCCTGCGCCTCCTCCCGCCGCCGCCGCCGCCCGGCGCTCGCGCGCACACACGCCTGCCCCTCGGAGAGCCGAGCCCGGCCCCGGCGCCTCGCGGTCCCCTGCAGCCTGGGCGCGCACCTCTCCGGGACCCCTCCCCGAGCCACCTGGGCATCATGCAGCAGGCATCTAAGTGGGACTCCTGCCTGGCCCCTCACCCTGGTCCTGCCACGTCCCCTGCCAACCAGCCCGGATCCAGCTAGCTGAACCCTGGTTCTCTAACACGCTTTCGGATCCATTTAGAAAGAAATACAGATAGGATCAGGAGTTGGATGTGGGGTCAGGAAAAGTAGCCATAGACGTCTACCCGGGGCTAGATGTCATCTTAAAGGCCCCCAATCATTTTCCCCAGTGACTTTCGATTCAGAAGCGTTCTTTCTTTAGATACATATATATAAAGCTATATATATATATTGCTTTAATATATATATTGCTTTAATAGAATCCCCTTGCTTCCAGAACCATGAAATACAACTATTCTTCTTAAGAGAAATGGCTTGAACGTGCTGCTTCCACAAAGCTAATATCAAATGTGTTAAGATGAAGTCCCCACACCAAAAATCTTGCGGGAGACTGTCATCTTCCCTACTTATGTTCTTATCTGGGCCAGCTCCTATTCCCCTCCCTCTTCTCCCCCTCGCCCTCCCTCCCTCCTTGTGATTTACACGGAGAGCATTTGGGGAGAAGGTCTATGGTGGTGCAGTGGTTAAGCACCAGGCTGAGAAAACCTAAAGGTTGGCTTTCCCACCTGTCACGTCCATTCCGCTGGGATGAAGCTGGCGGCTTCCCTACAGAGGACAGCTTTGGAAACCCCGTGGTGCAGTTCAGCTCTGCCCTTTATGATCACTAGGAGTCCCAATCCACATCTTGGCCAAATCCTAACTTACTGTCTTCCAGTGGATTTCGAATCATAGCGACTTTGTAAGACAGAGTAAAATTCTACCTTGACAGGAGTAGAAAGCTTCATCTTTCTCCTTTTAGTGTTTGGGGAGGGGGAAAATACCTTCTGGAGAACTGGCCTGGAGACAGTATAGAATTTGCTTTCAAATCCCCTTCCACTTGTCTGCCTCTATTTTAATATTTGGCTATTAAACAAATGTTAAAGATTGACTGTTCTGTAAAAAGGAGCCAGTCGGGGGAATTATGAAACTCAAATACACACAGGAAGCTTTAAATGTCTGTCTTTGTAAATGGTTACTAGTTTCATAAGCTAGAGTTTTATTTTCTTAATAGTAAATTCATGCACTGTCTATTCTGCCCTGGCAGGCTGGCTTAACATATTTTTCACTGCTCATTCTCCGAGATAATTATTTTAATAAGTTTACCATGTAAGTGTGTATTCACAGGGCTCTCTTGCTTCTTACATCACGAGTCTCTTCAATTTGCCCTAAGACAATGTTGGTAATTCTTTTCTTCCCAGTTTTGCTACATTCCAAACCTTCAAGTCCTTATAACCAAACTCTTAATTCTGAACTAAATTCTGAACTAAGCTTTCATGTAGAAAATAATAATATCTGGAAGAAGAAAAACAGAAGAAAATAGACATATAGACCGGAGGGTCAAAATAATAACAACTTTGAAATATACAAAAGAAAAGAAAATAAATTTTAAGAGGAAAGCATAAAAGAACATTTTCAGAGAGAAAAGCAGAGAAGAGAAAAACAAAATGATTAAGATAACAAGTAATACATTTGATTTCTCTTAGCGATAGATTTTTTTTCTATGTATTCTTTAATTTATAAAGATGCATCAGTGAAAACAATCTGAATCAAGTAGCATCGTGGTTTAGTCATTGGACTAAAACCCTCAAGGTTAGCAGTTCAAAACCACGAGCTTCTTATAGGGAGAAAGATGAAAAATTCTACTCCCATGAAGAGTTACAGTCTCATAAACCCACACGGGCAGTTCTGCTCTGTCCCATAGAGTCCTGAGGGATCTTTATGAATTGGAGTCAACTTGATGATAGTGATAATTTATTTAATCTTTAATGATATTTAGTATCTGTAAGAAGATAAATGATCTGAAGTGGCAGTGGCTAAGGTGAGTAAAAGATACTACTCTAGTTTTAAAATTTTGGTACTCAGCAGTAAACAAGTGAAGAAGATAGTCCCTTAAACTCAATATAGTGATTTTTAGACAAATATTGGAGAGTAAGAAAGAAACTAATGTTTTTCTTCAAGAAAATAGTCCACTGACAATATAAAAATATTTCCATGCTACTTTGAATCTACTTTGCTAAAGGTTAAAAAAGAAAAGAAATCTGTTCCTCCTTTTATATCCACAGCTGCTACTGAACCAGACTCTTCTAGCTCCAAACTCACAGCTATTACCTGAAAACTACAACCCATACCCATATCACAATTCACTGTTGAATAATGAGTATCATCTATCTATATCTGTGTACAATATGAAGTTAACTGAAAGAGGGAAAGTATAAATTGGCTTGCAGGATCCACCTGAGAAAGTTAATAGGACCCCAGCAGTGGTGTGAGCACTAGCTTCATGAAGGATTGCCTAAAGCAAGTATAGTGGCCATATTACTAAGAAAAAAAATAGAAAGTTTAAAATGTAGACAGAATCCAGAAGAACGAAAAGGAGACTTAAATATAAATCAAGTGTATTACTTCCTCGCACCTTTTTAAAAAAATTACCTTCGGGTGGAATTCGTTCATTCTTTTGACCATTGATGATTGTGCCAATCATCCAAAAAGCAACCAGCCTCACTGCTATTGAGTTGACTCCAGTGCACGGTATCGCCGTGGGTCAGAGTCAACTTGAGAGCTCCAGACAACACAAGCAACAAGGTGGCTCCTCTCGCAACTGAAGACAGTGCTATTCTTGCCTTTCTATGGGTCAGTGGAAGGTGACACAAGAAACTGATTATAGTTCGGAAGGAGAACCCAAAGAGAACCTCTGAATTAATCACACTATATGTTACAATTCTGTGTAAAATGATCTACTCTCTTTTGCTGGACCATCTCTTACTACCTCTGATAACACCTCTACTCTGTATCATATATTTTCTCCCCAAACAGATATCTAACATGTTTCTTGAATTAATTCCAAAAGGTACAGAAGAACACAACACATAGTTCATCCATTCATTATGTTGCTAAGTATTATTGAGCATGACAACATTATAGTACAATTTTAAATACTAAGAGTGCTACAATGTGTATTTGTAGTTAAACTTCCAGAATATATTTATTTTTCACAATATTGTACATAGTAATTTCTTTAGTGATCAGACAGAAAGCTGTTGATATATTCAAAAGGAATCATTTTCATTGATGAGTCAGTATGAAGTTGTTCTGTTTCCCAATTGGCCACAATTTGCTAGCTGTGAAACATTAAATATGTAATTTAACCTCCCTAGGTCTTCAGTTGTTTGGGGTTTTTTTTTTTTGGGGGGGGTGTTGTTTTGTTTTGCAATACAACAAAAAGCGATTTAAGTAGATGATCTCTGAAGCTAATTCCAGCTCTAGAGTGTATAACTCTAGCCTATGACCAAAGTGCATTCATTCTCCCAAGGGGAACCTCATAGATGGACTTCTAAGTCTTCTATCAGGAACATTTTCTAAAGTAAGTTGAAATACAACTTAAAATTTTATTTGTAACTTATAAAATTAGTGTGTTCATTTTGGCCTTTGACCAGCCACCTACGTGTGACCTCCCAAAGCAAACAAACTCACTGTCATTTAATACATTCTGACTCGCAGTGCCCTTGAGGACAGACTGGATCCACTCCTGTGAGTTTCTGAGACTCTCACTTTTAAGGACGTAGACAGCCTCATTTTTCTCCAGCAGAGTGGCTGCTGGTTTTGAACTGCTGAACTGTTAAGTTCTCAGCCCAACATGTAACAACTATACCATCAAGGTTCCTCAAATATCATCTAGATCAGCGATACTCAACCTGTGGATGGTGACTCTTTTGGGGGTGAACGACCCTTTCACAGGGGTCCAGTAATTCATAACAGTAGCAATATTACAGTTATGAAATAGCAGCAAAAATAATTTTATGGTTGGGGGTCACCACAACATGAGGAACTGTATTAAAGGGTCACGGAATTAGGAAGGCTGAGAACCACTGACCTAGATGCTTGTGAAAAAAAAAAATGTTGGATCTTGTCCCAGATCTAATCTATCAGACATATTTTGGATAAAGTTTTACATAGAGTTAAATAATCTGTGTTTTAATAAATCTTGATGCATATGTATTTGAAAATCATCATATATAACAATACATATATTGTTATATATATATAGTTAACAATTTGTTTAGCAGTCAATGTATATAGCAAGAACGTTCTGGTTTTCTTGTATTAGTTTCATTACCCTAACAAATATTTTAGCTCCTAAACTTCCATATCCCTCAGTCCTGCTAGTATTATCACCATCCTTCCATTAAACCATTTTTAATCAAAATAAAACCCCATCCCTCACAATTTCAAATATATTTTATGAATTTATGACAAACAGAAAATAAATTCATGCAAAATAAGTAATTAGAAGAAAAGTTTCTATTAAAAGTGTTCTTATATTTGAATGTCATCTTTTCTTTTCTTTTCTTTTTTTAAAAATAATCATTTTATTAGGGGCTCATACAACTCATCACAATCTGTACATTTGTCATCTGTGTCCAGCACTTTAGTACATATATTGACTTCATCATTCTTACGACACCCACTTTCCACTTGAGCCCCTTGTTTTAGCTCATTTTTCCCTGTCCCTCCCCGCTCCCCCCGAA